GCCAGCTAGCCAGTCAGCCAGCCAGGAACATAGGGTTCTTTGCACAGTGAAGCCCTCACTCTGGTGACACTTGCCTTTTATCTACACGTATTACGAATTTCAGTATATACTGTACGCCTTATCGCAGCCAGTGAAAGCTCGATTACTGAAACAGCGCCTCACCAACGTTTATTCAAAAGGCAGTAGTATATTATGCGCGGGCGGGTTGTCCTAAGACTACTAGAGAGAGAGAGAGAGAGATCTTCCAAAAACGGGGTGAGCCACTGCGTCAGACCTAAATCGGAATCAAACAAGTGGGTGGCAGGCGCCATTTGGAGATTTCCGGCCACGCCAGTCATCCACCCCAATCACCCCAAGCCAGTCAGCTTGAATCGGTTATCACGGTGGTGTATGGGGTGGAAAGCGGGCGAGTTAGACCGATCCAACTTCGATGCAGCGCATGCTTTTCTCATTAATATAAATTATTGCAACCCGTTCAAACTAGCGCCAACTCGGCCTTGAGGGCGAGGCTCCAATGACTCTTAAAACGATCCGTATGATTAGTTTCCTTAAGTCTTGGCCGTATGCTTGTAGGGATCAGCATGTGCGACAGGTATGAATTTCGGTTTTATGTCATTCACTGCGATCACGACAGCCTTTTTGGCTTGAAACATGGACGCGGCACAAGCAGTCTTAGTTATAGCGGGGCTTTCGCGAAGGCCATGGTGATTCTCGTTAAGTACGAGGAATGAGCAATGGGAAGAGGGAAAAGGAAATGTAACAACATACGCAAACAAAACAGGAGCAGGTTACCGAATAACGCTCCTGAATAAAAGCACTCAAACGAAGATACAAAGATGTACGCGCCTACTTACCATGGGTATCCGCTACCGATCGGCGAATCGAAGGTTGCTTTGCACGGAGGGTCCTTGAAGCAGGATCGCCTACCGTGGCCGATCTCCGATGAGCTAGAAAATGAGACAACTGTTAGAACAAGGTCTTAAAGAGACGTTGACTGAATCTCTGCAGGTAAACTTGGGAGAACATGGAATCTTGACCTCAAAGGTGTACAAGAGCTTTCTTTTTGAATAATTGGACAGCTGACTTTCTGGCTTGCCTCCATTGGTAAGAGAAAGTGTTGGGTGAAGGTTAATGCGAACAGAATATAGTGCTACCGTAGAGAGTATAGCATAAAAACCAGCAAAACAACACGGAGACAGCAAAAGTCGTAACTCCGAGGGTCGTTAACCTCAGTCAAAAGGACTACACAGTCGACAATCTATCCACCGCAAAAGATGTAAATCAGCATAGTTACACCGCAGACTTCGGCCGCATCTGTCTCAACTGCTCTCCCTCTCTCTTTCCATGCCCGCCAAGTTTCGGTAGTGAGCAGAATCCATACAACTGACGACCACGTATGCAGTGAAGGATGAGGTAAAATAAACCAAATTAAAGTGCCAAAAGCGCTGGTATTTGCACAACAGGAACTAAACTTGAAAGAAGGGGGGTCACTAATCTCGCATTAAAGAACTTACCACAGGAGGTTAGCTTTGATAAGAAGAAG